ATAAAAACAATTACTATCTTTATATATTTTAGTCAATGTTGTTTCAGTTCATAATGTTTCTTGATTAAATTGTGTTAAAATATTTGTGCCTTTTAATAGGAGCAAAACTACTGTATAATGAAAGAAATAATCAAGCCTAACAAACATTCATAACACTATAGCTATGACAAGGCAAACATACTGTTATAAAACAATGTAAATCCCCTCTCCAGTTCATTGTTAAGAAAATCAAGCATCAGATGATAAGTCATTCCTTCTATTTTGTAAACAGGTTATTAAAATATAGTTCCAGTCATCATTTTAAAGCGAGTCATTGAGTTCAAAATACTTCAAACATTTCATGAAGCAATGGCCAGGCCTTACAGAAGACATTCAGACAGTTGTAAGTTGGATCCAAGTGTCATGAGCAGAATGTGGAACTGCTTTCAAACCAGTGGTGCAGTTGTTCAAACAACTGAACAAAGAAGGCCATCATCCATGACATGCACACAACATCTACCTGTCAAATTTGCCTCAACTAATTTGTATGATAAAGGTTTCAAGACTGAACCAAAATTTTACAACCACAATTTAATGTAGTATTCATATACAGATTGACATAGACTTCACATGACCGTCTTGTATGCAATAAGTCTAGAGAGATGCAATCTGCTCATATCTAGACACATAAGATAAGTAATTTCTGATGCATTGAGATATTGCTAACCACGTCATTTGCACAGGTGTCAAAATTTTCATGAAATATCTCTGCAGAACCACCATATCTGAAAATTGTTCATTACATATATACCCTTTCTTTCAAGAAACAGGATAATTTATTATCTGGTTTTACACACTATTCAACACTTATAAGAAAAAACAATGAGTTAGACAGCCATTTGGTCTTTTTAAGATGCTTCTTATCCACCAATACTTAAATAAATGAAGGACTTAATATCAATATACCTATTTAAGAAAAATTTAACATAATTCAAACTAACAACACAATCACATTCTGGAAGTTTATACTCCTAACTGTAAAACATGTTTTTTTAATATATATATATATATATATATATATATAGAAACAAATAGATTAAAAGAAAAGAACTACTTTATTATTTAGTTAATTAGAAACAAATAAATAAAAACACATAAGTACTTGTTTCGTTTCTTCCTGGACACTATTCAGTTTCTAAATTAACCCTTCTCTGACAAGACCTACTTAACAGTGAAAGACTTCACACATTTTTTTGCCTTAAAGCTTTATATATATATATTTTGAATTTAATAATAAAATAATTTTCATCAAATAATTTCATTCTTTTTGCATGAAAACCAAAATGGAAATATTTGGAAAAAGGTTTCTTGTAAAGTATATATTTTTTTTCATTATACAGTTATCATTGTGTTTGTTAACAGGTAATGGGTAATTATTTGCATTTCTGACATGAGATTTGTGCAAATTTATTCTTAAACATAAGTTTTCTGTTTCTCCGACATATATTTGCTTATAACAAATATAAGATAACACATAAATAACATTATATGAATTACAACTAAGTCTAGAGCTTAATAAAAATATTTTCTACTCAGTAGGGCTTTTAATATATTTAGTATATGTAATATAATTTATTTTCAAACTTGGCTTTTAAAGTTGTATCTTAATTCTTTTTCAATAACATTAATATTAATTTGAACTTCAAGGCAATAGATTATTATGAAAAAAAATAATTAGTACTCCTTTTATATTATCTTTATAATTATTGTTAATTTCTTCTATAATTTTAAACTAAGTTTAAACCTCTTTTTTACCCTATAAGATTTTAATCCTATCAATCGAGCACAAATTATATTATCATGAAGACAACCCAACAGTTCATATGCTATCTTAAATCAGATAATTAAAGCAAATAAATCTGATGAAGGTATTTTTCCCTGCAATAAACCAAATTTTTGTATTTGTGAAAATGGTTATATTCCATATACTAAATATATTACAGGCCATACTACGGAGAAAAATTTTTTTTTCAACTCTAGCTACATTTAGTTTAATTCATATTATGTTATTTATTTATTATATTATATTTGTTTTGAGCAAATATATGTTGGAGAAATAGAAAACTTATGTTTAAGAATAAATTTACATAAATCTCATGTTGTAAAGGCAAGTGCCCATTATGTTATGTATTATGGAAAAATATCACATTTTATAAGAAAACTTTTCCAAATATTTCAATTTTGGTATTCTTGCAAAAAGAGTAAGAGATGATTTAATAAAGAAATTTAAAATGACATTAAATGTTACACAGTTTAACACACAGAGGGAGTTTAAAATATATATAAGCTTTGAGATAAAAAAAAAAAAACACGGGAAGTTTTTCATTGTTAAGTAGGTCTTGTCAAAGAAGTCTTAGTTTAGAAATTGAAGAATATCCTTGATAAAACCTTAACTGTCATGTTTACCACTATTGTAATCTTCTTTTCTAAGTCTCATTATTACCATTAAAGTTTCTTCAATCTTACTGAGTTTTCTTTTCAGTTATTAGGGGACTTTATTTATTACTTCCTGTTGCCTCCCCATGTGTTTTGTCAAGTGACATTGGTTAGTTAAAGTTGGATTATTTGTGCATGTTTAATAAACTATTTTTCTTATTACATTTAACAAGGATATATTTTAATTAGAATGCCAATATTTGATATATTTACAGTATGATTCAGGTATTTATTTAACTTGTTACTTATTACTATTTATTGTTTCTCCATAAACATTAGTTTTTTGCCCACTACTAGTACTCTCCTACTACCTGACTTTATAGCTAAACAATAATATGTCAGTAATTTATCTTAGATGTCATATTCCTCTAAAGTTACACAGTTAGAGCTGTTTAAAGACCTTTAAAGACATTGTTAAGGAGCATTGTGGAATGTTTATATTTTACTGTTCTTATACGTAGTTATACTGCTGTTAAGTTTTTCAATAAACATTAAATTTATGACAGTATTTAAAACTAACAACTAGTGTTTATATGTTCCATAAGTATATTCTATTCTTTCTTTAATACTACTTTTCATAACAGTATTTGTTAGAATATTTAATAAATCTAATTTTATAATATTACATTATTATACTTGTGTTGTAAGAGATTATTTCACACTGTTAGCTTAGTATAGTTAAGACTAACCTAAGTCTCCTAGGCTGGCAGAACCTTGTAAGATATCAGGTTTACAGGCATAAACATTGTTAACAGAGTAGGTACCCAACTGAAGAATCAATGCATTCTGATATTTTTTAAGTACAAACATAAGAACAGTGTATTTAATTAACCATAATCAATACCAGGTTGATTTTTATTTTTTTAACTGATCAGAAGTTAATATTAATTTAAGAGAGTAGTTATATTGTAACATTTAAAGTGTGATGCAACAATCTAATTAGAATTTGCAAATTTATGTGTTTTCATTGAGTATCTGCCCACACTACATTAAATAAATAAAGCAAAAGAATAAACATTTTGTGCTCAGAACTTGTGCTACCTAGTATTAGTATTACAGCCAACACCTGTCATCTTTTACCCTAAACTCCACAAAAATCATACAAAACTGTGAGATTTGCTCATAATAATCTGCTTCACTACATAACTATATTCCTGTTGGTTCAGAATTTATATAGGTATTTATTATACATGAAAAAAAAAATATAGGCATGCTGCATACAATAAGTATATGTGTAAATTTGCAGTTAAAAATAACTATATGTTTTATTTGGATCTTTTGAATAACATTGAGATTATGATTTGGAAATTTAATTGAGGCTGTTAGTTCAAAATAAGGAAAGAGTTCCATATGGCACCCCCACCCAAAAATTGTAGAATTGCCTGGATAAAAAAGATTGTACATCTAATTAATGAAGTAAGTGGTATAATAATGTATTAAAATTATCAGATCATACTATTAATATGATTTATTAATACATAAATATTACTTTGATGAATTTTTTTAAAAATTGAGTGGGGGTGCCATATGGAACTCTTACCCAAAATATATATATATATATATATATATATACAGACACACACATAAATAATACATATATACATATACAAATGTCTATACATTAAAGCAACAGAGAATAAATAGTAAACAGGAATAACTGTAAACAAACTGCATGAATAAAACAAATAAAAAATTTCAATTTAATTTAAAAAATAAAAATATTAAAAGTGTAAAACATTTTTAATATAAACAGTTATATATATATAGTTTAAAAGTAATAGCAATAGGGGCTGATTATTTACTGTCACAATTACAACTATTTCAAATTCATATGACTTAATGACATTACTTATTAATAGATACTTATTGACTAAAATGTATACTTACCAATAAAATATTCATAAACTATATATATAATCATCTTGAAAACCCACAACACTAAACAGTTAAAAACATAATTCTATATTTTGTAGTAATTAATATTTTAAATCACTAAACTTAAGTATATTTAATTTAATTAACTTTATCAAAACAGGATGCATATTAAAAAAACCTTTTGTCCTGTTATTAATGTTACCAATATTTATTTTTTCAATATCAAAGATTACTAATCCTTTTTGGAATCAATATGCAATAACATTAACACTGTGACTCAATGTTAACAGTTAAGTACTAAAGTTACTTCAAAGTTATATTATTAATTATTTATAACATGTGACATGCTTTATTTAATCAAAAATTTGATATTCCTAAGTCAATAGTTTATATTGGTCTTGGCAACAAAACTGAAAGTCGACTGTTTTTTAGTATTACGAGGTTGAACAAGTAATTTTTGATGGCCTAAATCCTGGACACTCATTTAAGACTGTAAAACTAAAACTAAAAAAGAAAGCATAACGTAAGTTTTATTTGTTATATTTTCAAATACAGCAGATAATGATAATAAAATTGTTGCATAATCACTAACTTTTGAGTTTTTATAATTTAGTACTTCATAAATTATGGAAGTCTCGAATACAACTTACCTCCTCGAGGGATCCTATGGTTTGACGACATTGAGGCATTTTACCAACAAAAGTCGACGTTGTCGGTGAGTTATAATCCTCACGAGTTTCTGTCACGAACTCGGCCACGCTCATCAATCCAGGCATGGCTGAGTTTTGCAGAAAATTTCACACCATCAATAATCAAACCTCAAATGAGTTTCATATTCTCAGTCATCAGACTAAGAGTAAACCAATGCTAACACAAAATCAGTTACGTTAGCTGAACCTACAATACTCTCTTTCTAACAGCTATACTGATTCTTATTATAATCAATGCACTCCAGGGGGCATTACTGTAGAAATCCCTTCTCTTCTCACCTGTTATTAAAACTAAAAGTGTTCAGATATATTTTACTTCTCAGGTGTTATTCCAGGATGTATCAATGTATAATATGTTTAGTGCCGAGTTAAAAAAATCTGTAATGTTATTAGAGTATTGTTTTATTTTTTTATCAATTGATCGTTGATTATTTTCAAGCAAACAGTATTTTATTATATGCGTAATTATTCATTTTAATAAAACAAAATAACTCTGTAATCATCTAACTAAATTATTAATAATTTAATTTTGCTTTTTTCTAAATTGTTCAACAACCACAAGAAATTAAATTGTTTATCAGCTTCAAATCTGTTTCTGTTTATGAATGTATAAACGTATGATTACCGTGCGGTCTTTATCTTGTTTATTTAGCGTTAAGAAAAATTTTCTGTTTAAAATATTGTTGTTCGTGTTTTCTAATGAAATATTTTTCGATACTTAAGAATATATTCTATATCCATTATTATTAGCTATAATGGAGTATTCAATGTGAATAAGATATAGTAAATTCCTATATATCTAGTATTATTTTAATTTATTTTCTCACAGTATTAGTATATGATAATAATTTTATTATAATTCACATTTTTTTGAAATCTTCAAATGACTTTTTTCATTATCATTTGGTTCGTTTTTTTTTTTTTTCATTGTGCTCCGTTTAATGTTTGTTTGAGGATAATATTTTAGTTGTTGACTAGTTCTATTTCTATTTACTAGTCCTTCACGAACTTACACCATTTTTCTCACAATTTGTTTTCTCATTTGTAGTCAATAAACGTGATTATCAATTCCATACATCTTTTACTTTTATTTTAACGTACACATAACCTGTTCGCTACGAGACGCTACCTTTGCTAGACTTCAAGTCAAATTCTAAAGCTTTAGTTTCAGATACGTTAGTTATCTAACTTTATTCAAATATGTTTTAAACTTTGTTTTAGCTGGAGACATAATGTGGTCTTTTCAGGCAAACTGAATTCAACGGGTAAGCAATTAATACCCCAAAACAGGAGGTTCGATAAGGTCTGTATTCGAAATGAATATATATCTAACTCACTATTTTGACTGATAAGAAACAAAAGCACTGTTATTCAACAATAATGTAATCTAGTAAAATATGGTGCTTGAAATTGTTGACAGATAAATATATCTGATATAGTTACAGGTATTGGAATATAATGTTGTAAGCTATATTTTCAATGTTATAATTTAGTTAATTGTTTGACAAACGGAGCTACTAATCATGATATGATATGATGCAATCATCTAGAAATTTTGTAGAGTATGCAGGAATAAGAGTATGGTAGAAATACAAGAACTATGAGTAATCAAACGGGGCTGTTGATTATGATATCATGATGATGTAATCATCTAGAAATTTTGTAGAGTATGCAGGAATAAGAGTAGGGTAGAAATACAAGAACCATGAGTAATCAATGAGAATCCAGTGAGTTTACGAGTTCAGTATCAGAAAACTTATTCAGTGAAATTTATCGAATGTATTCAGTTACTCGATTGATTAGCGAGTAAATTATGTAAGTATGTTTATTGTAAGTTAGGAAAGTATTGTTACGAATCTGCTTGTTTGTTAATTTCCCGTAGAAATTCTTTCCGCGAAACTTCAGTGATACAAGTCCTTTCTTAATTAATTCTTTCTCGATACAACTTTGCAATACACAGAATTTCCACAGTCAGTTTAACTTAACTACTTTTATAAAAACACGCTATAATTCACATGGATTCACACACTTTATTTACGGCTTGACTCGATTATCTCTATTTTTAATCTCTCTATCTATATAATTCAGCTTTATTTGCCGGGCTTATATACTAAAAAAGAGGACGTCTGGAACAGACTAGAGTTGCCAGGACAATTCATGATTCTTCGAGAATCTCATGACGCGTTACCAGCGTCACGTGACTTCCGCTGTCGTAACAGTATGTTTAATAACCATTAGGTTTACTTACCATATTTGTCTCTGAATTTCTGTTAAAACGTTGTTTGTGTACTTAGGCCTAGATCTAGAAGTGAAAGTAGGAAGAAATAAGCTAATTTATTATTATTGTTGTTGTTTGAACTTGACTTAGCAATATTTCTATCAGACAATCCAAAAGAATCTACCCAATGATAGATCATATTTCATCAATACCATGCACTTCTATCTTCTTGTAGTATTATAATATTGTTACGTCTCCGTTCGTTAGTTAATTTTCCGTAAATTCGTTCCGACGAAACTTTAGCAACACAAGTCCTTTCTTAAATAAAACTGGTTTATTCTTTCTGAATATAACTTTGCGATACACTTAATTTCAACAGTCGCGCTATAACAAACGCTATAATTCTCAACGAACGTCTCACGTGCTCGACTTCAACAATACTCAGTTCAATTACACACACATTGTTCC